CATACACATATATGTGTATATAGGTGTGTATATGCACACATTTACTCCTGAATTTGAAATGAAATGCTATCCTATTCCAATATAGCCATGTGTGTTTTCTTTTGCTTTTACTTGCAACCTACTTGTTTTGCCCAGTTTTATGTGAAGACACATCAACAGAAAAGAAACATTCACACTATTCTTGGAGTTACGCTCTGCCAAAATTCCAGTGTCTCCAGACATATTTACTAAACTCCTAGTTAACGTTTTGTTTTCTACTAAAACTTGCCTCTTTAAAATCAAAGAAGCCTTAATTTTATACACCTGGTGGTGAATTCCTGTTTTCCTAGAATAATTTGTCCCTAAATGATATTTGTTTTTTTCTGTTGGTCTCTCTTGAGTGCTGAATAATGTAATTGTTCTTCTGGTATTGTCAGGGTTGTTCTAATATGAGCTACGTGTTGTGCACACAGGATAGTAACCAAACATATACGCTGCTTCATTGGTCAAAAGACTTTCATCCTAAAGAATACATTGTTTAAGACTATCCTCTGCTTCCTCGGACAAATTCATGTTCCTGACAAAATAGCATTTCCTATTTTTAGGAAGCCGCATCATCCAGTTATCTGCTAAAACTACATTCAATTAACATCAACCAGACTGGGACAGCGAGCAGATTTATTGTGCTGTCTTGTCTGCCTGTTTTATTTCTTAAAACGTAGTATGAAAGCTGTAAATTGACTCGTCTGCTTATATTAGGTGTTACATTTCAGTACATCAGGACCATTTAGACTGCATTTCAAAATAAGAACTTAATCCATCTTTCTGCAAGGAAGGACCTTTCTTTAGATTATTGTTGGCTGTGGTGAAGGAAAGACCCTTTCCTAATGCTGGAGGCAGTGCTGGCAGAGATGTCAGCAGTCACTGTTTTGAAACGAACAGGTGAGAGGCCAGGATTAACAGTCTGGTCAGTCACGAGCATCAGAGAGCCTGGCCAAAAATACAGCCAGAGAATAATGGTCCAAAGGCTTTGGCTTAAGTGAGCCTGCATCTTACAGAATATGGGAGAATCTCACCAAAAGTAGAACGCTGCTTTTGTGCAGCCTATGCCAACATCCAAGGGGACAGAATCATCTTTCCCCTCTACCAAGTTTTCATACAAGCAAAGGAAAAGCACAGGCTCACTGTGACACTACAGTTTTTCAGTCTGTTCATGCTAATGGCTCAACCAGGGATCTCCCATTTTTGCATCATCACTGCCAGCAGCCAGCTAATGGAGCATCTCAGAGACAGACCACAGAGCTGCAGTTCAGCCACACGGGGCACTTCCCTCTTTTTATTACACTCTGTAAAAGATAAGTCACACACGCTTTCTCTTAGCAGTCTTCATGAATCAGCAAAGAGCTGCCGAAGAGTGACCATTAGGGCCCTCGGGAAAGACATGGGTATCAGCTGTCAAAGTACTACTTGGTGATTTACATTTTTTTTTATATGTCTCCGTATCCACTAGGCCAGTGAGGAGCACTTATGCATTTGCATTTTCAGGACAAGCTGCAAAAAGCAGACGTGTTCACGCAGCACCAGGAGGGAGGATTTCTCTCCTTTTAGCTCATGCAAAAAGATCCCTCCTGGTTCCTGTGTCTCCTCCCAAGATCTGCATTAGCAAGTCCAAATAGCGTACATATAGCCTGCCATGGGTGGCAGAACATCAGGACACGCGAGACTGCAATGCCAAAGTGCACATGCAGCCATAGCAGTCCTTCACCGCTACCTCTTCTCACCCTCACCCTTCTGTTCAGTGAACACTGGGGGCTCACAGACACAAGAGGAAGAATTTCAACAAGGCTGATTGTGGTGGTCGCCTGTCTCAGGAGGTAAGGAATCAGCCATCTTGAATTCTGGCAATGAAATCTGTGAGTGCAGATGACAACACACGTGGCCATCCCTTGGCCATGGTTCATTTATTAAATACAAACTATTATTTGCACCAAGACCAACTTACAACTTTCCACGGTGTTTCTGTAACACCCTTTTCAGCATAAGCAAATCCTGTCCCTGTGCTGTACACATCAGCAAAGAGATCAGTACTTCTGGGTAATCTTCCCTCTGCAACAGGATCCAGGCTGGAATTAGGGATACCTTCGACTATGCTCTCCTGTTAACTGCAAATGGACAAAAACCACCAACCAGTTCTGAGGTTCCCTCACCAATCAGCAATGGGAGATTAACTTTGTCATTAACCTTGTCTGTGCCCTCACCAATTTAATTGGTGCTGGCCCAGGTCCCAGGCCTAAGGCCAAGAAATAGCATGCAGAACACAGCTGGGTGATAAGATGAGAATTGCTGTTTTCCCCAGCCACCTTGGGCTGGCCTCTTGGCATTCTGATCCCTTGGCACAAGCAGAATGTTTCAACATGTCATCACCAAGACTTTCTACAGGTACAAATGAACATAATATGGGGAACTTCAGTGAAAAAGGGTTTGTATCCCTTGCAAACCTAGCCAAAGTCTCCTTGGAAATTCTTTCTTTTAGCTCCTTCTCAAAAACAAAGACGACTTTTGTTACCCATCTCCTCACTGTGGGTAACCTTGTTCCAGCTGGAACCTGCATCACACATCACTCATCACTCTGCTGCAAAAATCATTCCCCAGTCACAACACTAAATCCAATGCGCACACTCCTAAAATACCTCCTCTGGTTCCTCAAGCCTAACAGAACAGCACAAAATCCCAATTCTCTCCATACCTCCTGCAGCTATCCCAGCTGCTCTGCAACCTTTCCTTTCCCAGAGGCCCTCCTCGCTCATCTGAAATCACCCATCAGGAACCCCTCCTCCAGCACTTCTCAGCTTTTTCTTGCACGGGAGCCCTTTGGGAAGGGAGGAGGAAGGGGTTAGTAGTGCTAAGTCACAGGGAGCAGCCGAGCATCGGTCTCCTTGCACAGGTCTTGAAAGAGGCGTTCTGCTCTCAGTAGCAGACCTAAACCCTGCGCAAATGCTGTCTCTATGAGTCATGCCTTTCTCCATCTCCCTTTTACACTGTCCCCAAAAGTGGCTGCCCTGAGGCATTCACTTTGAAAGGACATAATCACATTGCCCTCCCCCTCCTTATCCCACTCCCCAGCACCTGCACCTCATTGGATGGTCCTCTCTTCCCATTCTTCTCTCCTTAATTTAGTTTGGGAACTCTCCAGAGCAATGAGACATCATTACCTATTTTGTAAAGCGCCATTCAAAGCTGTAGTAAAGTGGCACACAGACGCGATGATGGAAATCCTGCCCTCCTGCTCCCTGCAGAAGACAGGCACAGCTGAGGGGTGCTCAGCAGAGACAGGGCTGCTCCCTACAGCCCAGGCAGGCCTGCAGACCCCCACCTCAGCATGCTGAGGGCTGTGCTGGGTGCCAGCTCCTCACATTGACTTTGCTGAGGTTGCTGTGGAGGAATGGCTGCCTGCTAAAATAATTAATAGTCCCCTTCATTTTGAGTAATGATAAAAGTCAATTAATGGAGACCAAAAGCAATATGACACTGCCAGTAGCAATGACAAGTGCTCTTTGTGAGCTGCCAATGACAAGGAGCACAAGGCATGACACCCACTGGGTTGGAAGATGGTGAACTGGGAGAACCAGGGGACATCGGTGGGCATAGCCCAGCTCCACCCAGTCAGATGATCCCCTCACTGGCCGTGTCGGAAGCTACGAAACACTGGGTTAGCCTTCAAGCACAACCTTGTTGTGAGGGAAGAAGTGGGTACAATGGCAAGGTGGCTGTCTGTGTGACAATACGATCTCGGGTCAGACACTGTAGAGATGCACAGGGAGGGACGATGTCAGTCAGCCCAGCAGTAACCACACCAGGGAGCCGCTGCTGCTCACACAGCGTAACAGGTGTAACACCCTCAGACTGAAACTTCCCCTTCACCCTCCAGCAGGCAGCACGCAGGGCAGCAGCTGGGACCTCACACCAGCACCGCCGAGTTGACAGCTAAAAGCCGGGGGCAGCTGACGAGCGCCAGGAGCCCCAACAGCCTCATACTCCTTATCTGAAACACACGTTTTCGTCCGCTCTGGTCACTAAGCTCAACATGTGGTTTATAGGGAGATCGCGCCCCGTGCCGGGAGACACAGCCGGCGCCCGGAGCTGCCCGGGGGCTACCGGGGGTCCGGGGTACAGCAGCCCGGGCAAGCGCGGCCCCGCCGCAGGCTCCCGGCCTCCCTAATGGGCATGTGCGGAAGGCGCCGCACATGCCCACTCTGCCGCCTGAGGCCGGGGGCTGCCGGGCAGCGGGGCGCGCCGTCGGGCACCCCGAGGCGGCCGAGGGCGCCCCGTCCGCTCCCGGCGGCGGCTCCGTGGGCGGAG